TCCAAGCAACATACTTTTGTTATAGTTGCAACTGACTATTTCACTAAATGGGTAGAAGCAATACCTCTAAAAGAGATCACCCAGAAGAGTGTTATAGAGTTTATTCGTGATCACATTATTTATAGGTTTGGAATTCCACAAACTATAATGGTAGATCATGGAACATCTTTGAATGGAGATCAAGTGAACAAATTTTTGAGCGAGTTTGGGGTTAAACTAGTAAACTCCACACCGTATTACGCTCAATCCAACGGACAAGCCGAATCTTCTAATAAGATTCTAAAAAATATCATCAGAAAGATGATAGAGGAGAACGCCAGAAATTGGCACGAATGTTTGAATAAAGCTTTATGGGCTTATAGAACATCACCTCGGTCAAGTACCAAAGTCACTCCTTTCCAACTTGTTTATGGACAGGAGGCCGTTTTGCCTATGGAAATCAACGTGCAATCAATTCGAGTGTGTTTACAGCATAAGTTAAATGATGATGAGTATGTCGAATCGCTAGTTCAAAATTTATTAAGTTTAGATGAATTGAAATTGGACGTCTTGGATAAGTTGCAAGTTCAAAAGCAAAGAATGGCTAAGTTTTATAATAAAAAAGTCATAGCCAAGTCGTTCAGCCTGGGTGAACTAGTTTGGAAGACAATACTCCCTTTGGATACTAAGGATCCAAAGTACGGGAAGTGGTCGCCCAACTGGGAAGGATCATACAAAATAAACAGTGTATTGCCTAATGGAGCATATCACTTAGAAGATCTAGACGGCACCAAGCACCTAAGATTCATTAATGGCAAATATTTGAAGAAATATGTTCCTTCTTTATGGGAATGTGAATAGATAAAAATATAACCAAACATTCTGGACGATCAGACAGAGCGAAATACGTTCAAATAAAGTTCTTTATTACCAAACGTCCATTACAAGAATATTAAAAAAATAATAATAATAATACAAGTAATAGACGTGTTACAAGATACAACTAAAATAAGATGATCTCCCAGCCGATCACTGAATAAGCTTCACACCGCCTTCCTAAATGCATCGCTGCAGTGGTGGGATTGACGAGTAAGAGGGTGTACTGGCCTCACCACCTTCCTAAATGCATCGCTGCATTAACGAGCAAATAGGCTGAGAAACACTCTCAGCAGGCAAGCTGAGAAGCACTCTCAACAAGCAAAATGGCCCATGAGCAGCCCAAAAATTGCCTTCCATCATCGACCCCTTGTGAAGAACAAAGGGACGACGGGAAGAATTTTGCAGGAAAGAACTTCGCTGCTGGCCAGAAAATATTTCCTATACCTCCCATACCAAAGGTGACATCAAAGTAAGTATAAGGCGGACAGACTAAGCAGTCCATTTTCGGATCAGATTGATCGTCAGAATGCCAAGAAATGGCAGCAAATTGATTTCGAATAAGAAAATGAGGAGATGAAGAGAGAGGATGAAAAATGTGAAACATTTATAGGGGGTGAAGATGAAGAGACAGAATATGAACAGTCACATTTCTGTCTAAATAGACGGAATTAAATGGCCCTAAGTTTTGAGAACAGTAGTGGGAATCTCGAAAGGGAGTAAACAAAATTCTTAGTGCAAAGCAGTTAAATGTTTAAAGAATTGATGATTAGAAAGTAAACATCAAATAAATGCACAAGAAATTAGTGTTCATTAATAAGGAACAAAATTACAAAAAGAAGACATCGTATGTCTTAATTACATTCCCCCCCATATGGAACGAATTCGTTCCCTAAGTTTTTCCCAATCCTCGTCCTGTCGGGAGGTAGTGATGTTCAATTCAGC